CCAGTCGTCTGCAACGGACTTGGATGGCACTTCAACGGATGCAAATACATCGCTGGTCAAGTTTGATTCCAACGATGCAGTGAACACACCGCTGTACGCGCCCTTAACCCAGAAAGAGCCGGTGTAGGTCTGCGGGCGGACGTCCATACCCCAGTAGCCCTCGTTCTTGAAGCCAATCTTTCCGGTGGCATAGCTTCCATTTCCAGCTGAGACGCGCATGGACGCCGGCAACTGCTCAGACAGCGGCTCGTCTAGCATTTGAATGCTAAGCTGAGCGCCATTGACGCTGAAGTAGTGGTCCGTGGAAACGCTGTAGTTCTGGCTGTATTGGAAAGCACGGTTCTGGATCAACTCAGCGTAGATGCCACCATCGCCGGAGTTGTTGATATCCTGAGAAAATGTCAGTACATGGCATTCTGGCATGGATGATGATCACGATAACTTACCTCGTGAAGGAAGCCATAGCCGTAAGAGTGACCAAACGCGCCGGTTTGATTGCCTCCAGAGTTCTGGACAATAATGTCGGCAGCAAGCGCAGAAGTGGCGCAGGCCGCAGCTGCAATCCCTTTGAGAAACACCATCTTTGCGATCAAAAGACGATGAATTGCTGATCTCCCAAAGAACGTCCACTCTGGCTGACCTTATACCTTCGCCCATATCCCGGCTCACTAACCGTTCCCCAGCATCGCGGGTCTCCAGCCACGCCAGGTCTTGGCCACGGGAAGAATCAAGAGCAGTGTGCATACATGGGCCGGTACAATCGTCATGATATTTCCCGGATCGATGGCGTGTAGGCGAGAGAGCTTGTGTAGCGCCACCCGTCATTGGAGGACTCAGGCGTAGACGAGCGGAAGAATTGGATGAAGTCGAGGGTTAGTTCCTGACGATCCATGCATCCATGCCGGCGGATGCAGCGACCCCTCTCGAGTGACGTTATGCGATGTCCGACATCTTGGCTGATGGAAATGATGGCGCATGTCCAATACTTCTATCCACAGTGCGCGCATGGCATTGCGGATGTTCGGTCGCGGCGTTCGAATGAGCAATGGCATCGTCTTCAACTGCTGTCCAGCTGCTTGTGGACCTGAATTGGTGTCATAAGGCGTCTCCACTTACCGAGGCTAGGGAAAGAACCTGGGGCAGGCTGGGGTCTCCGCTCAATCGCAGCTCGGTGCTTTCGCCGTCAAAATGTCGTGTCGGCCTCATGCGCGGCTAAACTGCTACTTTGGTGCTAGCGCGTCCCAGCCTCCGAGCGGTACGAGATGAGACGGTTTGGCGCCCAGGGATCCTGTTCTTGTCCTGAATACTAAATGCCCACGACAGTAAAGCGCGGGAGCTTCCAATGTGAAGTGATGGAGTGATCCGGGGTGGGTATGTCAGCGCTTCGATCTTTCGGGTGAGCGTTCTCCGCTGTGGAAGATTCTGCTCTGTGGGGTAGTGCACTGACACTTGCTCGAGCAACAGCACTATCTGCTCGATTAGTCTGATTAGTAACAAAAGAAAAAGGCGCAGGAAATTAAGAGTTGTGAAAAGCGTGCTGAAGTTTCTAAACACATAGTAAATACCTGATCCCAATATCGCGCTCTCTAGAAAGTCGAAATCTTGATGTCGCAAGCCAGTGCTACATCGTCCCATTACCCGTTCAAGATAACATCCGTTTAGCCTTATTGCGCACCGATGCCCTTCGCCCTCTGTACAGTGTCATCGGAAAGGGTCAGCCTCTTGCGCGCTATCCCTCTTGACATTGCCCTGGTTCTCCTTCTCAACCCAAGCCGCCGTGCCACTGACGCTCACCACCACACAGCCCATGATTTCGCTTTCCCGAATGTCTAATCCAACAATGGCATTCGCACCCTTGCTTATGGCCTCTTTCACAAGCCTGTCGATGGCTTGATCGCGCGCCTGGTATACGATACTCGTCACGCTCTTGGCCTCTCCCCAACTGCTGTTGAAACTGCTTGCGATGTTCTTAATAAAGGATTTCGGGTCTTTGCGCGTCGCGCTTGTAGTTCCGTGGACGGCACCGAGGACGCGAATGACGCGGTGGCCGGGCAGGTCGGGTGTCGTTGATGTCAAGACTGCGGGTGTGCGACTTTGAGGTGCTTCGGTATCGATCGCAAGAGGCGTTGATGATGGCTGCTGAGGCATGGTGCCTTTTGAGTGGGGATGCCAGCTGGGCATGCGGTTGGGAGGGACCATCATGGTCGAGCGACGGTTGGTCAACATGTTGTTGATTGATGTGGTAAGGTAAGAGAGGGGAATTGAAGTTGAGCTCTTGATGTACGATGCGACTCAAGACGTATATATCAACGAAGAGCTGATGTAGTTGATATATGCGTAGTATATGATGTTCGAATTGGGCAGACAACAGGGCGCGACGATCGATCAATATATCCGAAGAGCACCTTGAATGACGTCCATCGGGTTGCGAAACACCTGAGGACCATGCCTCCCCATGGGCTGTCATCCAGGCATAGTTCCTAGACGTCTAAGCCACCATAAAAGCTGCTAAACAGCTGCTAAGACGGGCTGGAATGCCGTGCAGCAAAATTTCTGCAGGTGACGGAGATTAAACCGCCTTTTGCGACTGCGTTCTTGCCATAGAAACGCGGAGTGGGATTCCGCACTTGAGTTCGCGATGAGGTTCAGGCAAGTCGAGTCGAGGTATGAAACATGCGAGGTTGCGGGGCTACACCTCTGGTTTCAGACGCACCGCTGATACATGGATGATGCGTGAACGCCGATTTTGACAATGCCAGAATTTCTTCGTATTTCGGTGCGCAATGCCGTTGTATGCGCATTTGTGTGATCCTTATCGCCACATGCGGTGCATGGATAAGGCTTCCGCGAGGCTTTTTCTTTGAAGCCTTCTTGGTCATTACCGAGGCTTACCAAAGGGTGTGGTTGCTCATCGAGCGATGGAATCTACTGATATGCTGAACCTTGGCCAAGTCTTTCGTTGTCTCGTTGGTGTTGGGTAGAGTGCAGTTGATAGTGTTGTCTGGTGTATGTGATGCAATCGCCTAGTACCACGTGCAGGTGGGTCACGATGACGTCCCGATGTGGTTGACACAGCCGGCACCATCGGCCGTTTCGCATCTTCATTCCTCAAGACTACAACTACAGAAAGCTTTCTACCCCAACAGATCCAGACTCAAGCTTTGTACACCTGCTTTCCCTCAAACCATGTTTCCAAAACCTTGGCTTTGAGCAACTCCTCCCCCTTCCACTCCATGTCAACCACGCAAAAGTCTGCCATCTTGCCGACCTCCAAACTACCTACACGATCATCTGCAAATGATGAATATGCTGCACCCTGGGTAACAGCAGCCACTGCTTGTGTCAACTCAAGCCGGAAGTTCTCATTGACAGGCGCGTCTCCAGCATCCGGCTGTCTCGCCGACTTGCGCGTGGTAGCGACGTACAAATTCGGCAGCGGCGCATAGGGTGCGGTGGGTGTATCTGAGCCGATAGCCAGTGTCGCGCCATGATCCGAGAAGTCAGAGTACGCAAAGGCTCGCTTCACGCGTTCTGGACCAAGAAGCTTCGGCCACGCACGGAGGATAGCAGGATCTGAGTGAACTGGTTGAATACTTGCTGTTATGCCGAGCTGACCAAGTCGCTTCGCGTCTTCCGGTGCGGTAAGTTCGAGATGCTCGATACGGTGCCTCTGGTCTTGTTGTCCATATTTTTCCAGCACATTGACAGCATTATGAACAGCCTGATCACCTATTGCGTGCAATGCGCATTGAAGTCCGCCTTCGATCGCCTTCTTGACGACGGGATCGAGCATCTCCGGTGTCCAGATCGGACCCTCAAAATGGCCGTTTGAGGTATAGGGTTCTGCTAGCGCTGCAGTACACGCATCGATCACTCCGTCACAGATGACCTTGATGCCAACGACCCTCAGATCAGGGCTAGTGTTCTTGTTGAACTCCTGGCTCAGCTGGATAGCTCGCTCAACTTGTCGCAGGCGATGTTCTTCGCCATCGCCAGGCATAATGCACCAGTGCGCAGCCACCCGCATTGGTAGTCCTTCGGTAGATCGCAGGGATAGTATAGCTTCCCATGCACTCTCATCCATCGCCATATCGATGCAGCCTGTGCAGCCAACAGCATGATACGCCTTGATTGCAGTCCTCAAGGCCGCCATCTTCTCATCAAGAGGTGTGACCTTTGCAAGCCACGGCCAAACGATAAGTAATACGCAAGCTTCGCTAAGAAGCCCCGACGCGTTGCCATCTGAATCTCTTTCAATCGTTCCACCAGCAGGAGTCTCCATTTCTTGAACCCCCATCTCTTTCAAGGCCGCGCTATTGCACCAGCACGAATGAATATCTTTGGAATCTATGTAGATCGGTCTAGGATCTAGGTCGTCTAACATGCTCGCTTTGGCCTCCCCATTGGTCATCGAGTGCATCCAGCCTTTGCACATTATGCGCGGTTTATCTGGATTCGCTTTTGCGTACTTTAAGATGCGGGCACGAATCTCCTCAAGATCCTTTGCGTGGTCCAGGTCCACTTTGTGCAATGATTGCCCGAGCATGAGGAAATGCATGTGAGAATCGATGAACCCAGGAAGTACATGTTTTCCGCCAAGATCGCTCACTTTTGCACCCGTATTGCGGAGTTCTTGGACTTCGGAGTCCTCAGAGCTTCCGATGAAGCTGATCTTGCCATCTTGAACAGCTAACGTAGTATGGAATTGTGCTTCGGGTTGCGCTGCGCCGCTGTTGAAGAATCGACCGTTGGTGAAGACAGTGGTGTTTTGAGATCGAGACATGACGGGATGTTTGAGGCTGGATGATTTGTGTTGCGGAATGAGGGGTACAGTATCAGATGGGCATGCATGTCGAGTCTTAGATCCGATGCATCGCCGTAGCTGCCCCCACTACTTAACGCCTTATCACCTCGCGCCCTGCGCGCCTTACCTTGACATTGACTCTCCCTCCCGATATCGCTTCGGAGTTCGAGAAGGACTAGAATCGTTGAGCGCAGCCATGGCGACTACCACAGCGCATGTGCCGGATCAGACGACATACGAGGAGGCCCGAAATGGCGCCGCCGCTTATCTGCAGTCGCGACTCTTGGCGCAAGACCGTGTTGTCGACGAGAACTTCGAGATTCCCATTATCGATCTGACCCCTTCATTCTCTGCTTCTCTTGAGGATCGGCAAGTGGTAGCTGCACAGATTCGTCGAGCCTGCACCACCTCCGGGTTCTTCTACATCAGCAATCATCGCATACCAGGATCAGCCTGTGATGGCATCTTGCATCAGGCTGATCGCTTCATGCACGAACTGCCGCTGAGCAAGAAAGAGGCTTTGCATCTGAAGAACAACAAGTTTGGCTTGGGTTGGGAGCCGAGCGAGTATACATCCATCGCTGGTGACAAGGAGGAGAAGGAAGTCTTCAACTTCGCATACGAAGAGCGCCTGGACTTTTCTGGTGGCGATGGCGAATACAAGAATCTCGACGGGTCAACCGAGAAGAGTAACATGTGGCCTGATGAACAAGACCTGCCGGGCTTTTATGAAAACGTCCGTAAATACTATGGAGCTGTGAGTCAAATCCGCGAGAGGTGCTCATCACTTAGTGTGCGGGAATGCTCACCGTTTCTAGGTCCTCGATCTCGCGCGTCACTTGTTCCGCCTGTTTGCGCTCTCTCTAGATCTCTCTGAAGACTACTTCGACTCCATGACTGGGCACCCAGGTGGTATCGCACGACTTCTGTACTACCCGCCTCCCAAAACCCCTCTCACCAACAATCTTACGCCAGCTCAAGAGGCGCAGATCGGCCTCGGTGCGCACTCAGATTACGAGTGCTTCACATTGCTGCTCGCATCGACCGTGCCAGGTCTCGAGATCTTGAAACCTTCCGGCGAATGGTATATCGCTCCGCACATTCCCGACACCCTCATCGTGAATGTTGCTGACTTCCTCATGCGCTGGACGAATGGATTGTATAAGAGCACGGTGCATCGCGTTGTAAACCGGACCGCGGAGGCAAGATACAGTGTACCATTCTTCTTTTCGGTGAACTATGACACGGTGATTGAGACGTTGCCGACGTGCCTGAAAGAGGGCGAGGAGAGTCCCTACAAGCCAATCCGAGCGGGAGAATACATTCTGGAGAGGTTAAACGCGACGACGGCATATGGCGCAGGCTTTCAGCAGAAAGGGGAGTGAAATTGTATCGCGGACATGACATTCAGTCATGTGACTGTAAGCAAGAGTGTGGTGTTGTAGGAAGGCAAAGGACGCGACGCGTCGCGACATGCCGGCTACATGACATCACCACGCTACTGTCGCAAGTTCCAGGGGCTCGCTCTCTCAACACCTCGACGTGAACGTCTACATCAACACATCAATTTTACCAAGAATGTAGCGGCCTTGAATTCTTCATGATGCATAAAACTCCAAAGTGCTAATCTTCCATCAGTAGCATAATCCAGTTCGAGGCGCAGCTCAGTTTGGGAATCTAGGTCCGCCAAAGTTCGTGCCGGAATTGTCAATCTTCGTTGTCCGATTCGAGATGGCAATACTGAGCAGAGTGTATCACCCTTCATCTAAACGCATATTCAGGATATTTCTGCGAAGAGCATCTTACTGTGCATTCGCAGTCTTGTGGAACAATGCGCGGAGATGCTTATTCAGGGTCTAGTCCGCGAGGCAGCCAACCCCCGAGCTCAATCCCTTGCGGAACCTTGCTCGATCTACCATATTAACACCTAGATGAACACGGCTTACTACTATCAGGTTGGTGGTTCCTGTTTTGGTGTCTCTCGCGTTTTCGACGAATGAGATGCGTCACTTTCGTGCTGATGCGACCGAGCCATCTTGGTGCTCAGTGGCCGACGCGCACAACGTCAACGGGACAGATACAAAAACCACCAAAACAAGTTCCAGAGAGTTTCAAAACAGTTACCGACGTAAAGACGACTATAGCAATTCCCTATGCCAGCTGCGAAGCGTAGAAAGACCGGCGGTGCGGAGATGAAGGCGAAGAACAAGACCACTGAGCGAAAGCCGCTCCCAGTGACCGTTCTTTCCGGATTTCTGGTAAGTAACAGCTGAGGAATGTGAAGGTTGAGACTGACAACAGTAGGGCAGTGGAAAGACGACCTTGCTTCGGCACATCCTACAGTCGCCGGACCATGGGTTGCGCATCGCCGTCATTGTCAACGATATGGCATCAGTCAACGTCGACGCAAATCTCGTTAGTCGTGGCAACAGCAAGAACAGTAATGGAGAGATACGTCTAAAAGAGAAGGTCGTGCAAATGGAGAATGGTGAGACAATGACTGTACGAACCTCATGCAAGACATACGCTTACTTCTCATTCAGGCTGCATTTGCTGCACATTGCGAAGCGACTTACTTGTTGAACTAGCACGCCTGGCTTGGTCCGAGAACGCATTCGACCATGTAATCATCGAGAGCTCCGGTATCAGTGAGCCACAACAAGTGGCGGAGACCTTCACCACCGAGCTTACTGAGGCAATGATTGACGCCGAGGGACTGGAACCTGAGGAGAAGGAAGTCTTTGCTAAAGTGTGAGTCGGACTCAAGGCGGTGGTACGATACAGTAGCTTACAAATGTCCACAGCGCGAAGATCGGTGGGCTGAAGAGCATTGCGACGGTCGATACGATGGTCACAGTGGTGGATGCGTTCCGCTTCTTTTCCGAGTTCGACACGGCCGAGTTTCTGCAAGACCGCTTTGGGCGCGATGAAGTCCCAGATGAGGACCAGCGAACCATATCCGATCTCTTCGCGGACCAAATCGAGTTTGCCAATGTTATCATCATCAACAAGATCGATAGAGCAGACAAGGCAACCCTGGGGCGCGTCCGAGCATACATCAAGTCACTAAACCCGAAGGCGAAGATCATTGAAGCCAGGTACTCCAAGGTGGACGTTCGCGAGATGCTCAATACGGGCGTCTTCAACTTCGGCGAGGCTGTCGCAAGCGTTGGATGGCTCCAGTCGTTGCATGAAATGACAGTCATGGACGTCTCGGGAAGAAAGCGTGTCGCACCCAAGCCGGAGACGCTCGAGTAAGTCACTCGGTACCGGAAGCTTCGCTCATGCTGACCTGGATTTAGATATGGCATCGGCTCTTTCGTATATCGCGCTCGCAGACCATTCGACCCAATGAAGCTGTACCGGCTTATCCAGGGCAAGTTCATCTTGCTGCAAGACGAGGCAGAAGACGTCGCCGATGCCGAAGAGGACGAGGAAGAAGAAGAGGAGAACGGTGATGATGGCAACGACAACGCCATCGATGGTTCATCCGAATCTGGAAAAGCCAGCGCGTCCGAAGATGATTCCGACAAGGTCAGCGAGGACGATGAAGAAATTCCCCAGATGGATGACAAGGAGATTCTGGCGAACAAGAAGGCTTGCCCTTACTTCGGCGGCCTGCACCGAAGCAAGGGTCTCTTCTGGCTCGCCACGCGTCCTAATCAGATGGGCTCGTGGAGTACTGCAGGCGCAATGCTGACACTCGGCTCTGAGATGCCGTGGTTCTGCTGCGTGTCCGAAGAAGACTGGGGCGCCGACGAAGACACGCTGAAGGCTATTAGGAACGACTTCGAGGGTGGTGAGTATCCTATTCACGAAGTACTTGTGAGACATCCACTGACTTTGCATACCTATATTCAGAGTGGGGCGACCGTAGACAAGAAATGGTGTTCATCGGAGAGAAACTTGACGTCGACCGGTTGACGAAGATGCTTGACGCTTGCCTTTTGACGAAAAAGGAGATGAAGAAGTGGGAGAAGGTCATGCATGACGATTCGTTGGACGATGACGAGAAGGAAGAGACTCTGCAGGAAATGTGGGACGACGGCTACTGGGCCGAGTGGCCGCGGGCGCAGGATGAAGAGGAAAACGACCATGGTCACGATCACTCTCATGACCACGGCCATCATCATCACGGCCACAGGCATTGATCGATGATATGGACGATGGTGGTGTCCAGTTGCGGAAAGAGCAAGAAGCGCTAGCCATGACGTCATAGCACGATAGCCATCCGACCGATCGGAGGACCACATCAAGGGTCTCATCTCAGCTTCTTTCCTACATGCAATTGCTACTCGAACTTTTGTTCTATGATTAAACAATGTTATCTGCACCTTGTTAAGTTTTGAGATAATTGGTCACGGTGATCACGCCGTCAATCTGTGCGCCCATACCACAGGCTAGACCGGTTGCTGGTCCCCGCAACGCCTACCTCACGCTGCTGTTGCGTTGGTGAGTCGGTCTGCCCCAACGAATGTCCGCGTTTCGGAAAAATTATATTGATCTCTTCGCTGTCCCTCAATCCCCCAATCGTTATGTCCCTAAAGTGCTTTCCGGAAGCGGTCGCGGAGCCTCCCTCCGCTTCGAGAACGGCAGTCCTTCCCTTCAATTCTTCTTGGACAAGAAGCATATCTTATAAGGATGTCTTTTGTCGCCTGGTAATTTTCTTTAACATACCCTTCATCTCTGTATTTAGCATGTCGCTGCGTTCATTGCTAATCGGATTGACACTGGCCGGCCCAGGCTTTTCGTTGGTGTCGCAAGATGGACAGACAGGCCGCCTGCCAGCTATGGGCTGGAGCACATGGAACGAGTACGAATGCGCCATCAACGAGACCGTCATCCTGGAAGTCGCCGAACTTCTCATCTCTCTTGGTTTGAAAGACCTCGGCTACAATTATGTGAACATAGATGATTGTTGGTCCGACAAGTCTTACCAACGCGACAACGTTACAGGAAGGATCCGTCCGGACTATGCTAAGTTTCCGGATGGTATCAAACATACAGCGGACGAGGTTCATAAGCTCGGGCTCAAAGTCGGCATCTACGGTGATGCTGGCGACACAACATGCGGTGGATATGCTGGCTCACTGGGACACGAGGAAGTAGATGCCAGGACCTTTGCCGATTGGGGCATCGACTGTAAGCTACATATACTGTACACGCCAATCCATTGCTTATCCTTACTAGACTTGAAGTACGACAACTGCGCCGTTGCTGATGAATGGGACGACGAGTACCGATGGTGGCCAGAGAATTGGCTAGGAGGTCCTCCCGCTGAAGATCAGAGCGCTGGCGGAGATGGTGAAGCTCGGCCGATCCCAGCGCCCGCGGGCTACGATTGGACGACCTCGAATAGCTTCACGCGTTACAAGACCATGAGTGATGCCCTCCTCGCAACAAATCGTACGATTGAATACTCGCAATGTGCCTGGGGCCATGCCCACATCGAGCAGTGGGGCAACGATACCGGCCATAGTTGGCGCATGTGGGGAGACATCTACCCAGAGTGGTACGGCAAGCATCAGTACTCTTGGGGCATCATGCCCATCCTCAATCATGCATGCTTTTTCAACAACGATACCGACTTCTGGGGACACGGCGACTGGGATATGCTTGAGGTGGGCAACGGAAACCTTACCTTCCAAGAGAGTCGATCTCACTTCGCCCTCTGGGCTGCTCTGAAGTCGCCTCTAATCATCGGCACCCCTCTTCACAGGATCGAGCCGGCAATCTTGGAGATCCTGAGCAACAAGGAGCTCATCGACTTCAATCAAGATCCAGTCTTTGGTGCTGCAGCCAAACCATACAAATGGGGTATCAACGCTGACTGGACTTGGAACCAATCGCATCCCGCTGAGTATTGGAGTGGGCGGTCTTCCAAAGGTGTGCATGTGTTTGCATTGAACACACTGAATGCGACCCAGACCAAGGCCATCGACTTCGCGGAGGTGCCTGAGTTGGATGCGGAGGCTGAATACACCGTGTTCGACTCATGGACTGGGGAAAAGCAGGGGAACTTCAAAGGACGGTACGAAGCAGTTGTTGATTCGCATGACACCGCGGTTGTCCGACTCGTTAAGACGAGCGATGCTGGCTACGGCGCGTCGCACTATCAGTTGTAAGACAACGCGATGGTTTACGCGAATCCGACGCGTCGTAGTTTTGTCGTGTTGCCGCTAGGTGTGGCTACTATTTGTGTCGCAATCTTCCGTCTTTCTTTCGCGAGGTGGAAGTATACGCCGCCTCAAGAGGTACTTGCATGTTGAGTCTTAAGGATGTGTAGGCTTCAAAATGCGACACAATTTTAGCCGCCTGATGTAGCTTCAAATACGCCTTACGTCACTCGCGACCAACTCGCGCTTCCCAAGCAACCGAGAAGCGTGCCCCATACCTGGACGTCGGACACACGTGCGGGGTAATGCACACCTCACCTCGTATTGCTACATTTCTTTGGTGCATCGAGACTACATCATGATGCATGTTTTATGTTCCGAGGCTAAATGCGACAGGGTGTTCTCCGGATCTTCTCCGGGCCAGAAAGTGTAGGCGAAGCTACTCGGCATGCGATACCATGCAAGACATCAGGCAATGGGTACAAGATCTGCAAAGCAAAAAGTGTGAACTGAGCGTGGAATGCGGGGATCGCGCGCTATACCCAGAATGGGATCCGCAGTGGACAGGCATATTATCGTCCATCAATGAGAAGCTACATCGGCGCAGGGCTGAAGCGATGATCCCAGGTACATAGTCGTAGTGTTTTCCTGGTATCGTCAGCCCTCACAGCCCATCACCAGGAGCTCAGGACTTACAGAAGCAGGAATTAGTCCATATGCTAACTCTAGCGACCTTGACAGTCGCTTCAGGGCTCATTCCACTGGTAGCAGCAAGCGACGCACGCCTTTGGTACACAGCGCCCGCCGCTTCTGATGCCTGGACAGACGCACTCCCAATAGGAAATGGGCGCCTCGGTGCCATGGTATTCGGAATACCCGTACAAGAGCGCATACAGCTCAACGAAGAGACCATCTGGTCTGGTGGCCCTCGAGATCGTGTGAACCAAAACGCGTCCCAGACGATTTCGGATGTAAGAGACTTGCTCGCACGAGATCAGGCAGGCGAAGCAGAAAAGCTGGCGAACCTGGGTATGATGGGCACGCCCCAAAGCGTTAGGAACTACCAACCGCTGGGAGAAATGGAAGTCTACTTTGATGGTACTAGCGACTACGACAATACGACTTACGAACGATGGCTTGATCTCGAAACGGCAACGGCAGGGGTCAAATTCAGTGTCAATGATACGCTATACGAGCGCGAGATGTTCGTGTCAACCCCAGACGACGTACTTGTGCATCATTTACAAGTCACCGGATCTGAAAAACTCTCATTCCAGATACGCGTACACAGACCACAGGACGGCTTGAACGAGGCGTCAGATCAGGACTGGAACGCGAACGGAGTTGCGTACATGACTGGAGGGACTGGCGGTGTTGATCCCATTATCTTCACATCCGCTTTGGCAGTTAATACCGATGGCAACATGAAGACGCTTGGCGAATTCATCGTCGTCGACAATGCCACGGAAGCAACGGCTTACTTTGCAGCTTCCACTTCTTACCGAGCCAACGACACGCGCATGGCTGTAGACGGTACTATGCAGCGAGCCCGTCAATACACATATGCTGAACTTCGACAGCGCCACATCGGAGATTATGCGCCGTTGTATAATGCCAGCGTCCTGGAGTTCACGGGATCCGACGCAAACGCTAGTAGCCTTCCAACGGACGCGCGCATCAACGCAACACGCGAAGGAGCTGTCGACCCAGGGCTGACCGCTCTGGGATACAACTACGGCCGCTACATGTTGATCGCATCGTCGCGCATTGGCAATTTACCATCTAACCTCCAAGGTATCTGGAACAAAGAATTCATGCCGCAATGGGGCTCCAAGTATACCGTCAACATCAACCTCCAGATGAACTATTGGCCCGCGGAAGTCACCAGTCTGTCAAGTCTGCACATCCCGTTATTTGATCATCTGGATCTTATGCGAAAGAACGGCATTCTCACTTCCAAGAAGATGTACAATGCCTCCGGATGGATGTCCCACCACAACACCGATCTATGGGGTGACACCGCGCCTGTGGATCGCTATCTTCCGGCTACCTACTGGACATTGTCGTCTGGGTGGCTTGTTACCCATATACTCGAGCATTACTGGTATACAGGTGACAAAGACTTCTTAGCGTCCAGGCTAGATATCGTCTCCGGTGCTATTGAGTTTTACTTGGATACGCTACAGCCATACAGCATTAATGGAACGGAATATCTCGTCACCAATCCTTCTGTGTCCCCGGAGAACAGTTATATTGCCGCAGATGGAAAGACCTATTATTTCGACATCGCGCCAACATGTGATATCGAGATCCTCAACGAGCTCTTCACTAACTACCTCCGGGCGGTCAACACTCTTGATAACGGCACCGTCGAATCGTCGTTCCTGCAACGAGTCCGAGACACCCAAGCGAGACTTCCACCATACCGCTACTCAAAGCGCTATCCGGGCACGTTGCAAGAGTGGATGCAGGACTACGAGCAAGCAGAACCAGGCCATCGCCACGTGAGCCACTTATACGCACTCTATCCAGGCACGCAGATCTTCCCACCAGGTGCGCCAGGCTACGACGACAAGCTCTTCAACGCCGCCGCGGCTACACTCGCAGATCGTCTCTCTCACAACGGCGCTGGGACGGGCTGGTCGCGTGCATGGACGATCAACTGGTATGCGCGGTTGCAGAACCGGACAGCGCTGGCTGAGAATGTTTATCAGTTCTTCAATACCAGTGTGTACAATAACCTGATGGATGTTAATGAGGGTGTGTTCCAGATCGATGGCAATCTGGGCTTCGTGAGTGGTGTGGCGGAAGCGCTACTTCAGTCGCACATCGTGGATGAAAAGGGTGTACGAGAGGTATGGCTCCTACCCGTGTTGCCTAAGCAATGGAGTTCGGGAAGTGTGTCTGGACTGGTGGCTAGAGGTGGGTTTGTGTTCGATTTGGAGTGGGCCGATGGCAGGATTAGCAAGATGAAGATGATGAGTCGGGTTGGTGGTAGTGTGGTGGTCAAGTATGATGCTGGGTCGGGGAACAGT